TTCGAATTTAAACTTTAAATTGTGAATTTGAAATTGCTAGTCTTGTTCTTGTTATTCGTAGTTTATAAAATCAAACCAAACCAATCGAATTAGAGTGTTTAGGACTTGTTTCTTATTTTCGTGTGTTGAATAACCGTGCAAAATAATCCGGCTAACCTTCCTTGTGACACGACCCGGTGTCGAATCCTTGGGTTCTACTCCGGTTAAAAATATTTACAACACTAGACTGTATACATTTATTTCCACTCATGTGGGGGATTATTGTAAGCCATTGGGTGAAAATAATGTGATCATTTCACATGCCTTCACATGCCTTATATTAATAAATTAATCAACTTGGCATGGAATCCTACACGTGAAGATGAATTGTTGCCAATGCATGTGAAATTATAGAGATCCATACGCAACTTGGCCATCTGCTTCAGCATCTACTCGCTCAAAATTGCTCCTATAAATAGCTGATCGGAAGAAGAAGCAAGATGTACCAAACAGAAGAGAAAAAGAGGGGAAAGAAAGAGAAAAAGAAAGGAAATAAATATAAATTTATGTCCAAATATCGGATATAAAAATATCAAAAGATAAAAAACAAGTGATATTTTTATTTGTTTCAAGATATTCCTTTTATTACTAAGTGCTCAATTCTCGATTCTGTTCACGTTCGCCGGAGCTCGTAAATCTGGTGTGCTACAGATTTAGAGACGTTTGCCGTTGTATCTTTGGGGAAGTTACGCCTAAACCGTTAGCTGCCACACGGGGCGTATTCTTCTTGCGGAAAGAGTTTTACTCGCCTCGGCTAAAATCTTTCCGTTTTTCAGTTGTAATTTATTTTTCAGTTCAATTGTAATTTTTTATTTTTTCGATTATTTGTAAGAACTGAAATTACATATCAGTTCGTAGGATTCCCTTGTATTTTGACACCAAAATATCCAACACGGATATCTTTAGAGACTGGTATTATTAGCCATTGATGGTCTCACCTCATTAAGCACGTTAATTTGCAGCGTTTATTCCTATATATGATTAATTGCATCTCAACTTCTAAAATAACAAAAATCTAATAGAGTTTGTTAATTTTTTTATAAAATGAAAAGTGGATGTACTTGGTTGGTAGTTTGCCATAATATATTTTGGCTAGGGATAGTGCATGTAGTTCGGTAGATACGTTATTTTTTTTTTTTTGGTACAGGGACCTTCCGGTTTCTGGATCCACAGGGGAACCGACTAATCATGAATCGAGCCGGGTAAATACGTTATTAGACAACTACATTTTACTAAAATATTTGTTCGATCTATTTAGCTTTCCTCTTTAACTTTTACCTAACACCAAACTATAGACTTGTGTTTGGCAGATGCAATTAAAAGCCGAAATGCAATTGTGTAGCTATAAATTGATTACTTAATTAGCATATGTTGTACTAAAATAAAATTTTAGAATTTGATGTGGACCGCTGGTTATTGATGCGCACGACTATAAAAGTATCGATTTTAAAGTTAAAGATGTATGTATACTAGTCAAAACGTGAGTATTTACCGTAAAGTGCGCTAAATTGTGTTAGAACACGGTGTTTTTGTATGTTTTTTAACTGTGTTAATGTAACGCCAGAATAAGTAAGATTGCGAAAGCATAAAACAAGAGATAAAAACTTTTCGGGAAGCGTCTCACTACCCCTAAGACATCTTTTATTAATTAGTAGATCGATTGTGCACACGCACGTGTATAGTTTGGACTTATGCAACTATAACTCTCTTCTAGCTAGCCTTGCCAACACTATACTCGATCCTACCAACCAGGGGCGGAGCCACCCCAAAGGCTGGGGTGGGCTCCAGCCCAGTCTAGTTCCAAAAATCTTTTTTTAAAAAAAAAAAAATAGCCCATTTTTTACTTACTAGCCCAGGTCAAATATATTTAAGCCCATCTAGCCCAATATGATTTTTCTTTCTGGCTACGCCCCTGCTACCAACTACTTCTCGGACCACGCCTCGTGAACTTTACACACTCGAATCTCTCGATCAAACCAACACTTAATCTCTAAGTACTATGATAAAGTATCTGAATGAAAAAATTATGACAAACCAAAGAAAAACAAGCTCAGTTCATCGATGGAGTAACACCGAAAAACTGAATATCCAAAGAAAATCTAAAAACAAACATTCTTGAACTCCCATTTGAATGCTCGAATAATATGTGAATAATTAACCTTCAATTAATCTTCAAGATGAGTATATATAGACTTCTTGATCGTGAAGACTTCATCAAGCGATTTCATTCGCTTTGTGATTTCCTTCATAGCTTATAGTTCAAACATGAAGTAAATATTCCTCTCTCTCTTCTTTCTTCACAACTTCAAGCATTCGGATCCTTGTTGCCATGCACGACCGAACCCTGCAACATATAACCGAAAATAAGATCATACAAAATCTTATCAATGTACATAATATATAAAACCTGATATACAGATATAAAACCTAAATAAATGAGGATCCTCCCTTTTAAATTCCTTTTGCTTGCAAAACTATATTTTCAATATTTTATTTTTGAACTTATTGCCAAAAAAAATATCTATCAATTAGTTTTTTGCATTACCTTATTCATTAATCATGTATGAATTAAAGGTTACTATTATTATTATTTTAACAGGCTTCTTTTATTGTTTATTAAATTTTTAAAATTACACTATGTTTAATTGAAATTTTAGAAATTTTCTATTTATAATAAATAAAAGGATATGAAATATTCAATTTGAAATGTAAAAAGTAAGATAAATATGTTACAGTTTAACTCAAAAAAATAAAAAATAAGATATAGATCTTTACCTAATATGATCGAAGTATATTTACAAATTAAAAATTAATGCAGGTGATATTAAAATTAAAATTTTTCTATTTTAAGATATAAAAAAAGTGAAAAAAGTATAAACCAAAATTGAAATATCTTATTCTACCTCATATATAGAGAGATGTGAATATGCTTAATTTCTTTAGAGTAATGCTCTCCTACCTACGGTGGGCACATGTTAATATGCCCACCGCTTATGTGGCATGCACACACTGGTAATGTTACTATGTTAAAAAAATACATCATCTATGTGTGCATATCACATAAGCGGTGTATATATCAACATGTGTCCACTGTAGGTAGGAGAACATTACTCTATTTCTTTATTATATTTTTTTAACACTTTTAAAATGGACTTTATATCTTCTCTATTATAGTTACTTTAACACTTTTAAAATGGATTTTTGGATACAAAAGTATATTTCAAAAATCATTCGTCGCTACATATTAATTCAAAACATGTTAATCTTAAGTGACAGATTCTTAGGCTCGGATGCTGATATGACGATAATCTATACTTCATAATGTTGTTCATATTTTCATTTTTGCTCTGAAGTCAAACTTGGTAAGTGTAAATTTAATTTTTTTTTATTCTTTTCTCTTAGTACACATTTCCTTCTTAGTTTGGACAAGTAACAATCTTACCATATCATAATTTTCTCTCACATTCTCTCCTAAATTACGATTTACAAATTATTTTCTGCACAATCTATTCTTCTTCTTTTTTTTTCATCAATTAGTCCATCAAATTTTTAAATTAAAAAATTATTTTAACAATTACTTTTATCATATATTTATTAACTCAACATCCGTGTAGTACACGAGTATTGTACTAATGTATGTTTGAATTCCAAAATTCCATAAAGAAATAAGAAATAGAGACTTTCAAAGAGCTTCTTTTGCAAAAAATAAAATAAAATAAAATAAAATAAAAAAAAACCATTTACATGCAGATTGGATTTTTGCAATAATATTTTCAAACAAGTACTTTTTTATTTTATATATATATTATACATTTTTATCTCAAACAAGTACTTAATCATTATGCAGTTATACTATACTACTAGTACAACGCCCGTGTATTATACGGGTGCTTGCTAATTTTTTCTTTAAAATCTAAAATTAATGATTACCTTTTATAAAAATATATATATTATTATATTTTTAGTATGACACTTTTTATTTGTGTGACTTATTTGTGTTATATTATAATAGTTTTTTTAATATACGACATATAACTACATTAAACATAAATATATCAATTGAGAAATAATTTTATTTTTCTAATAAATTTTAATAAATTATTATTATTTTTTATTATTATAAAGATAAATATAATTTATTTATTTTATATATACAATATGGATGTCAAATCGAAGATAATGAAAAGATTATTAATTTGCTATATTATATATGTAAAACCGATGAGAAATACAAAAATTATCAACTTTAAAAATACATTTATAATTCAATAGCTAATTGAAGGAAACAAATCAAAAGTGGGGGATATATTAGTCACTTAGTGTCTCGCTATGTAAATTATAAAGAATTAGAGGGTTATACTAGTACAATTGATATTGAAATACCTAAGTTAACTAAATAATATTTATGGAATGTCCGAACCTAGATTATAATTATTAATATATCAATATTATTTGTCCAAACCTAATTACGAAGCATGATTCTTCGTCAAGTAGGAATCCGAAGCACCAGAAACAACCACGTAGGCTCAACGCATTCGGGAATTATATATATAGGGGATACTCCACTAACATGTCATACCTAAAAAAAAAAAAACCTAATAGTATAGTATCTTTTGAGATACTATACTATACTCCACTAACATGTCATACCTAAAAAAATAAACAAAATTTTATAAAGATTTTTTGGCCAAACAATAGCTGTACAATTCATAGGTAAACTACAATATTTTTTACAGGAAAAAAAAAAAAAAAAAAAAAAAAAAAGAGAAGTTCCAAAATTAAACTCCTGAGATATTATTTCCATTTTTATATTCTCGACCCAACCATCAATGACCAACTTATGGCGTTCACAAACTCGAAATAGGCATATTGTAGAATGTAGCATGAGTCGCGAACAACAACTGGCCGGAATCCTTAAGTCGGAAGTTAACAGCAACAACTGTCAGGTTCCTCCCGCTTTTTATCACAGTCCCATCCACGACTGCTTGGACCTGCGACCCAAATTCCCATCACAATATGTATAACAAGAATGTGTAACATATATAGGCTGCCAAAAAGGCCATAGTATATTAGTATGTGATTAATAATTCCCAAAGTCTAAATTCAGGTTGAGCTTAACATGACTATGTAACACTTCACAGAGGTATTGGTAATCCTAAAACACAACTGAAGTCTTGTCATTTTTAAAAAATTTCTATTCTAACCAAGTTAAATCCCCCAAGTAACCTTCTTCATTATCACTATAAATTTGCTTGTCGACTCATCACCATTTTCACAATAAGGACTCATGCAACAGAGTCAAAAGAATTTGATTACAGA